GGGGGGGTTCTCTTACATTTCCCCTTTTCACAAAATTTCAAACTTTGTGCTCACTTCTTTTAACGCCAAAATAAAATGGCAAAAAGGAAGACCGAGTAAAGTTGGCCCAAAACAGACAGAGCTGGAGATCCTTTGTTGCTGCCCTAAACGCCAGATGGCGTAATGGTTAGTAAGAAGAAGAAGTAAAGTATGAATCGATAGGGGGGGGGGGGTCTATGAGACCTTTCAAAGGCACAATAGGATGCAGTGAGGATCTAAAAAGCAACACACCCGGCTCACGTCTGACAATCACATCTCCCATCGACAAGTAGACTGAAAAAGTTATCATACTTTATCCTACTTTATCCTACTTCATCGTACTAAATCCATAATATCAAATCATCTGCATCTCTCCATGACGCTTAACGACAACAGATGATGAAAAAGTAAAAGTCAGTAAGTATCAAATAATGCCTTTCCGCACCCTGTCATACTTTTCCATAATATACGTACCAAGCTAATTTGTTCCTTAACAAAAATGGTGCTATAAAGTAAAGTTGTTCCCGCATCCGATCCGGACATTAGGGATTGTCTTGTTAGTGAGACAACTTCCTGGGCCATATGTCTGTGTATGAGTGTGTGTGGGGGGGACGGGTCAAGTGAGTGACAGACAACTACTGACCTGTCCATCGTGACACCTTTTGGCGTGGTCCACACAGACCTGGAGATCGTCAGCCCTGCAGTGACCAGGACACATCAGGTCCGGGGCTGAAACAGACGTAACAACTTATTCTCCTTTTTTTCTTGACCGTTTTGCTTTTTTTTATTTTTTACATCCTTTTGTCGTTGAGAGTCATGGGGGGACGGGGTGGGGGGGGGGTTGCAGTTTTCTATTGTAGGCCAACTCTGAAGCTATTTTAACTGAGATGCTGTATTTCTTTTTCCAGAATTTCCTTGACTCTCTCAATCCATCTTTTGCATGGTCTACTTCTAACTGTCAAAGCACATGTGCACCCCCCTACCCCCCACATACCCCCCTCCCATATTTTTCCCAGTCCATGTCTTCGATACCACGCTCACTCATACGACCTCATGCACTTGCTAACGCCGTAAAACACTTACACCCCCCCCCCAAAAAAAAGCGAGGATCACAGAGAGTGGCAAAGCGTTATTCATCCTGCGTGTGAAATAACTGCAACCTTATAGTGATCCTACACGACCTTACAGCGACCCCAAAGCGACCTTTCACGACCCTACAACAACCTTTGACGACCCTACAACAACCCTACAACAACCTTTGACGACCCTACAACAACCCTACAACAACCTTTCACGACCCTACAACAACCCTAAATGACCTTACGACCAGGCGCGGTTCGTCCACAGAGCACGGTCGTGCAGTGCCGCCCAAAATGTTTTAATGTTCTATGACGTAAAGCACCCACAATAATAAAAATAAAAGACGCCAGAAACAAACACAAGCCAAATATTATATCAAAACAAGGCCCTCGCTGGCGCCGTAACGGTCATTTCTATTCTATAGCGCCGTAAAACATCTACTATGCCATGCCTAAGCTCATGCGCTGTATCTAAACACAACAGGATAGTCAACAGTGGAAACCTGACCTATAAATCGCTCTTTGGGATAACCCAAGCGATGACGACACTCGTAGAGAGTTTGGCGGTACATAAATATTAATAAGACGGCACATCTCAAACGTGCTCCTGCCGAATAGTGACAAAACATAGCCCGCAGTAGGCAATCTAAAAATAAACGCTATAGACTGTGCACTATTCCATGCCAAAATTATGTGGGCCCCGGAACAATCCAGTGGAGTGCTCAAGTGAATTGTGATTGGTTCATTGTCTTGTCGCTATTTTAAGTGACTCTGTGACCGTGAACCTGAGGAAGGTGAACGTGACATACTGAAGTCGCCGTCCTACAAGTTGTGCTTTTGAACGGTTTTGTAATGGAGTGGTGAAAGGTATTAGATCTACTTGAGGGTTTAGTTCTAATGCAGGATGAATGAAATTGACGTTTAGCTAACAAACAGATTCAGTTCTAGAAGTCAAAGCCAAAAGTGAAAAGAATGAAAATAAAAGCACAAGGTCTTCCTTCACCAACCCAAAGATCCTAAAATTATACACCATCCCATTTACTCTGCCCTTGATTATCTTCAGTCTAAGATAGCTTAATTGTGCACGCCCACTGTTTAGACCCGCGAGCCGCCCCTGCTTACAACAACCTTTCGCGACCCTACAATAACCTTACACGACCCTACAACAACCTTACACGACCATACAGCTACCCTACAGCGACCTTCAACAACCCTGCAGCGACTTTACAGCAACCCTTTAGCGATCCCACACGACCTTACAGCTACCTTACACGACCCTACAACAAACCTTCACGACCCTATAACAACCCTAGACGACCTTACATCTACCCTACACGACCCTACAACAACTCTACACGACCTTACAGCTACCTTACACGACCCTACAACAACCCTACACGACCTTACATCTACCTTGCACGACATACAACAACTCTACACGACCCTACAACAACCCTACACGACCTTACATCTACCCTACACGACCCTACAACAACCCTACACGACCTTACATCTACCTTGCACGACCCTACAACAACCCTACACGACCTTACATCTACATTACACGACCCTACAACAACCCTACACGACCTTACATCTACCTTGCAC